ATAGGTCGTTAAATTTTATAAGACATTGGAGACATGTCAAATTGAAAAAAAACTTGGAAAACAGCTAAAGATTTAAAATATAAATAAAAATAGCTCAATGTTCAGACCTTTTGAAATTTTGTTAAGAACGTTTTCAAATCCCTGAAACCTTGACCAAACTCTCTGTGTGTTGTAAAGTAAATCTGAAAGCATCTAACAAGGTCAAATTATTTTAATTTCGTTTCGTTTATTTTTGATTCTATAAACTGCAACAATTTGCATTTATTTAACAAAAATGAATTCCAATTAAAGTTTATTTCACACAATATTATTTTCTTTTCTTGTTTCCCCACTTGTTTGTTGTTGTTGTTTTCACCAACAGTTTATTTATTTTGAATTTGCATATTTTATACAAATAAAAAAATAACAATCAATATTTGTAACAAAGGTGCAACAACAACAACAGCTACAAATAAAGAAAACAAACAAAAACTGAAAACAAATTGTCAATTTGCATTGAAGTCTATAAAACCCTCTTTAATTAAACGACAGATACACGCACGGTATGGCGAATAAACAAAAAAACGCCAACCCTTTTTTTGATTCTGAAACATGAAAAGAAAATTGAAAATTTGTATCGAATGCAGTTAGTTATGATCCTTTGTCGATACCATTTCCATTTATGACATGTAACTGCATGGAAAATTGCTTGCTTGCTCGCTTTTCCCCAGACATGCGGACATACTGCCCAGAGCCATCATAAGTGGATCCATTTGGATCTAACTGCACTTTATTTCAATTTTTCATGTCATAACTGGGAAGGGTTGATTTTCCCTGAATTGGATGGAAATCTAGAGGTTTTTGTTGTTTTTATTTTTTTGTGGACTGGCTCACACTCGCTGCCAAGACAATGTTACACCTTTTGGCCAATTGTTCATGCATCGATGACAAAGAAGTCAAAGGGTTAAATTGAACCTGTCCTGTTATGGAATTCGTGCATATTTATGGGCGGACGGCGCTTTTGGTTGCCCAACCATGAAGTCTGTTGCAGTTGTTGCTGTTGTTTTCATCACACAAAACGTTAAAACGGGGGACAAACAAACAAAAAAGGTAACATTTACTAATTGTTTTCCTTGTCTAGTTTGGTGGAAGTTATGTTGCTATGCTGGCGATGTCGATGTATATGTGTATGTAGCTCATGAGAAAATAACGACCTTGTTTTAGTATGATAAAAACTTGTAATGCAATGCAAACTAATACATGGTAAAAAAATCATGAGCTCGGCTATACAGCAGAATCATTTCAGAATTTTCCTAATGAAAAAATAAAAAAAATTCAAAATTTAAAAGTAATGTTGTGTTGTGGAATTTTTTAGCACATTCAAAATTGTTAGTCGCTCGGGACATACACTTTCGGAAAATAATAATATCAATTTTCCTTCGCTATTGAAATGCTTTAAGGTTTTTTTTTACTAATTTTTTATTACAGAAAATTAGCATCGATTATTTTAAATCTAACAGTTCTTAATAATTTGCACACTGTTTCGTACTGCCCCCCTTTAGTTTTTATATTTTTTTTCACCAGAAAACGAAATAATAAACTATGCATATTCAAGTTAGAAAAAAGGATAAGTCCTTCAGTATACCGAACATGGTATCGATTTTTATATTTGTGATTTTGGCAAAAAATTAGAAAATACGCCTAGGACCATGAAAATACCTAAAATAAGGCGGAAGTTTTTATTACGATTTTATCTTATCATCATATTTCTCACAGTGTAACCTAACCACAACATACATATAGAAATACTGTCCTAAAGGTAAGAAAACTAACCCTCTTGTGTTTAATAAACTCTCTCAAATAGCTTTTGTGAAAGAGGGAATCATCGACGTCGTCGTCAACGCCATCATCATCAAGAAACATTGTGTGCCAATATTGCAGATGCTTATAAGAAAAGGATATGATAGTGCCATAGAAAATGAAGGTATCAAGGATATATGATTATGTGTATGTGTGTGTGTCTAATACAAACTTGAGAGAAAATTGAAATTTGCAACTAAGGCACTATGGATAGTTTAGCTCATAAGAGGTTAGAAAAATAAATAAATTTACATATCTATATTTGTGTGGGGGGAAATGCAATGGAAGGAAGCTGCATTCTCTACGCTTCAAAGATAATGGAGTGATAATATTACATTTTCGTATCCCAATTGAGCCATTAGTGGCGGCGGCAGCAGCAAAAGCAACAGTCTGCAGTATTAAATTTAATAATAATTTTTGTAAAATAAAATGGCATTCTCATGTAAATTGTAAATAATTTTGTTCTTTAGCTAGCAGTTGTTGTGGTGACTGTAGTTTTTTTTATTTTATCAATTTAACACTTTCAATCAAAATTTTTGTTTCATTCTTTTTATGTGTTTATATTTTTTGTATTTGTGGCTGTGAGTGAGTATTTTTTTTCACTTAAAAAGGATGTCACAAATTATCATCATTTAACGAACGCATAACAATCAGTTACAGTTCATTTGCTGATGATGTTGCAGGCCTGACATGCCATCAACTAAATGAATGTAGTACCATCACAACCATCGATGTACAAAACCTCAAACCAACAATCCATTCATTCATGCATTCTGGTATTCAACCCAAACCAAACCTCCAACCATTCATCCATCCTCCAATCATTTCGTTGTTTAAATAACTGACAGTTATGAACTGTGTTTTATATACAGCTAGTCTTCTAAATGAATTCTATAATCGTCGTCAACATCAACATCATCACCATCATTATCGAGTACATCATCCTCACCGCCAGTACCAGCAGCAGCAGTAGTAGTTTTTGTCATATTGGCTGCAGCAATAACAATAATAAGCACCATGAACTTATTCGGAAGCAGTGCAACAACAACAACACCAAATATAAAATAATAATAATATTCGGAAGCATATACAGAGACTATTTGAAAAATGCATTTTGTTTATTGGTGAAATGTGAAAATTTATTGGATAAATTATTCATTTAAATTTAAATAAAGGAAGCAGATGCAAATAAATATAAATTTAAAATGAAATTGAAAAATATTTTCCCTATTTAATATGTGTGATAGAATGGAATGCAACAAATGTTCACGAACAAAAATTAGTTGAGTTAAAAAATTGAACAGATTATTTTTTTTAAATATTTTTGTAGCAACACTATGTGTCCTCTGGTGTCATCTGACATTTAAATGGGAATGTTTGAAATTCTTAGCCTAAACGTATTCATTGTGGTTTTACGTACGACCATGTGTTGTGTTGCAAAAATCTATTTGGATTATGTGTAACAATTTTCGACGAGGATTAATACGACAAGAGTACACCGATGAATTAAAATCTTTGACGAAACTGTAACAAGCTGGTTTAGTGAATTCCATCGTGGCCGACACCCACCCAAAGGCGAAGGTTATATGGGACGTCCGCTCCATCGAACATTGAAGGGTAATACTGATGTCGTAAGTGAACTGATAATGACTGGTTGTCATATGTGATTATTGCATTCATAAAAGAAATGTTGAAAAAAAGATGGGACAAATTCCATGATTTGTCTGTGAGGTTGAAAGCGAATAAAAATCGAAAAATCGAATGTGAGGAATTTTTGGAATAGAAAAAGAAATATATAGGTGCATTTTTTGACACGTTTTTCAACCGAATAGCTATTATTTATTACATTGAACAATTTTTTTTTGATAATTATCGAGAAATTTAAAAAAAGTGGATAGATAGATAGATAGATAGATAGATAGATCAGAGAGTCGACAGAGGATTAACGTATTAGACAAAAATATTCCTCACATTTAATTGCCAAATACATCTAAAATGCAAGGATTTCGAGAAATCTTAATCCGAATATTTTCGAATGTCTTGGAAATGGCAAATATTGACACGTATTTTTAAATTAGCCCTTCAATCATAATTTTTTGGAAATTCCCGATAATTATTTTTTGTGTTGCACGGTGTTGTAATTGTGTATAGAATGCAACCACGTATTTTTCCAGACCTATCTGTTGTTCATACGTCAGCAAACACTTACACGCACATATATGACACATGAAAGAATGAAATGTTCATGCATTATCCAAAACACGTACAAATTTATGCAGACACAAGAGATTTCGTTCATTATTTAATTTACAATAATGTTTCGAGAAGTATTTTGCACATTGAATTGTACTTCGAATGAAGTTTTTTTGATGATTTTATTTTGGCCACATTGAGCTAATCTACTAATGCCACCACTGCAATAATGGTCATGACAGAGGCATTTATTTTGAATTACTCAAAACTTTTGTTGCAGTGATATGAAATGTTAATTTTCTTAAACGAGAATATTTTCAAGATGTCAGGACTTCCAATAAGACACTGTTACATTTTTATTTCAATTTCTATATATTAAAATCTAAATAAAGGATCTCTTGAAAGAAAGTTTAATGAACTTAGAATTTCTAAAGATATTTGCTTACTGGCTCCTTAAAGTGTTTCTCTCTTTTTCTTTTTCTTCTTAAATATTTTTTCATTGTATCACTCTTATAAGTGTGATTTCAAGTTTAGCATAACGAACGAAACCCAGGCAAACACAAGCCCAGCATGGCAAATGGAAAGCATAAAGTGAAACTTTTTTAGCTTGCTGAATCCATAGAGCGATGGTTAGCAAAACCGAAAAAACACCTGCCCCTAACATAACATACACATACAGATACATAAATCCATCACTACCATAAACAACTTGATATTCAACTAAACTCGAAAACAAAATACAAACATACATACATATATGAATTTCATACATGTCCTGTGTATAAAGGTGTATGTTATAAAACAAAATTTATACTTGGCAAATATTGAAATGTCTGTCATATTTTAATTGTTTTTGTTGTGTTATTATATACTGGGATATAAACTAAAGGCGTATCTAATTTTTGTTTATATTTTATAAAAAAAAATAAATTTTAATAAACAATGAAAAATATAAAAGTAATACATACTTGTTTGGCTTTGGGTTCCTGTAAAGAAAATAAAAAAAAAATAAAAAATTAGAATTACTTTTCTTATAAAAAAACATAGAAATTAGTATAAAAATATATTTTCCAATTAATTAAAAATATAAATAAATATAAATGTGGATTTTCCTCAAGTAAGAGAAATGGGCCGATTTATGCATTAAAAGGCCTTTTATTTTTTTCAAAAAAGTAGAAATTATGACATTTAAAACTTAAAAGGAAAAAAGAAAACGCATAATAAAGTTATCCAACAAAAACAAAAAATGAGAAGTTAAATTTTCCATTTAATAAGCGGATTTGCAAAACAAAACATAAACAGAATATGCTACTTACATGTTATGCCATTAACATTATGATGTACCTATCTACCGCATATGAAATCTTATATTTTTTTCCGTTACAATGTGTATGTAGGTAGGCACATACTTAAAACAAACACACACTCACACATACATTCACACACATCTACTCTCACCTGTAATAATATTTATCTACAAGTCCTGAACATTGCATTGCAAGGACAATGGTATACAAGTCACAGCGACACACACACACATCTGTACACCAAACTCCTAGTCTTGTTTAAAGTTGATAACTCAATATGAAGCTGTGCATAAGCATTTCCAAGCCTATGCTTGTTGTTGCTATTGCTATGTTTTTTCCAGGCAAACGTAATGCTTGGGCAATACAAGTATGGTTATTATGCTTCAGCTAGAATACACTTTTATTCTCATCATACGGTGGTAGCAGTAGTAGTAGTGCCATGCTACCAGTTTCAAGTTGAAAAGCAAAAGCCCTCCTTCCTCGTCCCCGAAATTCCTGTTTCACCATATTCTATATTATAGGGAAATGGCAACCTTACAAAAAGAGATCGGGGTGGGTAATGGAGTCATATTTTACTACATACTACGATTACTACTATGAACGTTGTTGCTGTTGTTGTTGTCGTTCTTGCTGCCAAAGAACTAGGACCATGTGCAATTTGCATTGCAATGCGAAAAAAAAACACATGGAACGTAGAGCGTATCCCAAACAAGGAGCCAAACATCCTTGCGTTTTTCTGTGTGTGAGTGTGTATTAGGGAATACTTTCATCTAGCATTACGGCGACGACTAACTACCCTACCAACCGAACATACATATGTGTATGTATGTGCATATGTACATACTACTATGCAAACACTTTATTTCATTTCGACAGCAACAACATCACATCCACGAAGCATACACATGAAATGTAATATAAAGAAGCAAACCAAAAAAGCGTCGAGAAGAAAAAGAAAAAAAAAATAAACTGAAAACATCCTGATGATGTTTATTGTCAGTAGTATTCATAAGGCCTGGATACCATGGATAGATGGATGACTGGATAGTAAGGTATTCTAGAAACGCACACACAAACACATTCCCTGTGTCTTGTATTATATTCCTGCTCACAACCGTACATATGAAGGAATAATATTAAGTGCATTGCTCCTTCAAAACTGTCGTTCGTGACATACTGCACTCTCCTCCAATTCCTTGTTCACATTTATCGTCATGGTCCTTTATATGAAGAGGATTAAAAAAAACGTGTAAAAATTATTATGCACTCCAAAAAGAAGAAGAAGAGGAGAAAAACAACACAAGGAATGAAAGCAAAACACAAAAAAGCGAAAATGAAATAACAACAAATTGGGAAAAAGGAAACCTAAACAGAATTTAAAAGTAAAAGAAATGTCATTGCATTGGTTTTATAAGTATTTGTTGTTGTGGGTATATTGTATTGAATTTTTTGTTTTTGTAAAATATTGACACAAAATGTTTTTTTTTTAATTTGAAATAGGCATTAAAAAATTAAAAAAAATAATAAGATATTTTGAAAATCTTACATTTTCCCCTTAGACATAATAAATTACATTCTTGATCAGAACAAATGCTAATGTCTATATGCGAAATTTGATCAAAATAAAAAATTTGCGACGCAACTGTAAAATATAGGTTCACGTTTGACAAATCCCCCATGTAACGGCCCACCTCCTTAATTAACATTCCGAAATTTTAGTGTCAAAAATTGTCAATTTCGGTATGTTAAGAACCTAGCCCAAAAAGTTCTGGCAGAACTCTACCATGAGCCTATTTTTAGGTATTTTGAATGCCTACATTATGTTGAAGGATATGAACATTTCCGCTCGGTTGAACCTAACGTCTATTCAGGTTTTTCTTTAAAAAAATAACTTCCAAGACCTCCAGTATCATTTGTTAACAACTTACTGCTCCTCTCATGCTCTACGACAAAACTAACAAAACACATTTCAATGTCTTCAATCTACATTAATTTAGATTTTTTCCTAATTTGCCTTGCCTTACATAGAAACCAAACTCAAACTAACATGTCCTGAATTTGTGTGCCTGCCTGCTGCCGGCTTTTGAAAGCCATTTGCACCAGAAAAAAAACAAAACTCCTTCTTAATTGCTACTATTAAGCTATTTAACCAGTTTGCCAATGTTTTAGCTTGCCAATTTTTGTATTTTGCATTTCCATTTCAAAGGAAGGGTAACGAAAGGAATAACTACTACTGCAGCTAGTTTTTAACATACTTTTGATCTCGTTGTTGTTGCTGTTGTTGTTGGTTTGCTTGTTTTGTACGAGTGCACAGGACAAATCCATATCCATTCGGCAAAGCAATTTTGCACAGCAAAAAAATTCCCAGCATCGTCAATCGTAAAACCATACAACAGGCAACGGAGAAAATCAGATCAGAGGCGTGTACAGGTACACTCGGTGGACAGGTTTTGGGTAAAGCGCGCTATTGGGATTTCCTGTATCCTTGTTATGTTTTTTTGTATTTTTTGTTATTCATTTAACCTGAGACACAAAGCATTGTGTGGCGGATTTGTGCCGGTTTTTGTTTTGTGCAATTGCTTTAAAAAATGTTATTATCCTTCTACATACATGTGCATTTTCACATGCACACACACACAGACACACGCACGTTCGTACGTCTATACAAAGAGCGAAAGAGCTCAAAAACCCAACTCAACAACCACCTGGACGGACAGATATTCATATGGAATGTTTTATTACATTTTGCATCTGCTCTGGGTTTTTTCCTCCACTGATGATGATGCTGCTGCTGTGACTGTTCCTGCTGATGATACTGCGCTGCTGGTGCAACGTTAAGCCTTGTTTTTGTAAAAGAACGCGCAATTCGCGATTTTTTGTTGTTGTTTTATTTGTCAGGATTTATTATTTGATTATCACGTCTTTCACATCTGCATTTGGTGGATTTGGTTGTAGCCAAATCTCCAGCTCCATATGTACCGCAGCAGCACTACCACTAGTAAGACAATAACCCCATTACGTGCCATAATTTTTGTGCTGTTGTTCTCGTTTTTTCGTTTTTTTTTTGTTCATCGCTCTTTCGTTGTGCAATTTTATGCAATTCCACTTTCCAAACTGATGCCACACATAAAACGTTTCCCCCACCAGAGCTGGTTGGCTGATCCTTGCTCCGTGTTATGAAAGCCAGGAGATGGCAGCAGCAATACAATGACAATTTAAGCGGAGTGAAATGCATAAATATTCACTTGGCATTGTACCATGCCTAGCAGCAGACAGTTGTCATATTTGTTGGCCAATGCCGTCCGAGCCGCACCCAAAATGCAAATAGGTTCGTTCGCCAGCTTGCTTGCATGCGGTTGATTTTCTGTGTCTCCTCTTTTGCATGCAGTTTTTTTTTTTTTTGTTGTAGTTGTTTGCATTTTTATTACATATTTTTTGCATTCCCACCTTTGTCAATTAATTTTTAATTACATTGGAACATTTAAATAAAACATTAATTTGGGGACGAAATGATGAATACAATAATGGAGGGGATGGATATTGACCAACTCGCAATGCAAATAGGACAAAAACACCGAACCGAACTGAATTGAAGTCGAATTGTTAGAGCCGGGGTTTTTTCAGCTAGGCCCATTGAAACCCATTTGAAATTGTGAATTAATCCCCAAGCCGTGCTTTGATTGCTGTTGTATGCCCTGACATTTTTCCATTAACAAGGACGCTAAGGACAGTCAGTCATACACACGTTTTATTTAATATAGGGATGTGGTAACTCATCAATGTTATGGGTGTGTGTGTGTGTGAGTGTAGTGCGTGCATGTGTTCTATTGACGACCATTGTTAGTCCCACCTATTGAAATTTAATCTTTTGTAATATGCCACGATCACGTTTTGTAGGCGACACACTCTATCCTCGTATATAAATTAAATTGATAGCAATTATTTTAATGGCAAATGTGGAATATTCAAAAAACAAGACAACAAAAATAAAATAAAACGAGTCAATACACATGAGCAATCACCCTCTATGCGGATTATGGAATTGCATCATGAAATGCAGATAAATGAAATGTGTAATTTTTCTTCTTTTTTAAAGGGTCAATATGTATGTATGCATGTATTGGTGATATATTGGATATACGCAACAAATGCATATTAAACAGATAATTGGAATTTAAATATTGTGGCAAATGGGAAATTTGGAAAAATGTTTGAAAGAAAACAGAAAATAAATAGATATTATTTTTTTAAAAAAGAGAATTTTGGTAAGGTGTTTTTACAGAAATGTGAATTTAAGGAAAACCCATTTTTCTTACATTTTTAAATCTTTTGTAATAAAATATGAATAAAAGTCTAAAAAAGATGTCATATTTTTATTTTATTACAGGCATTTAATATGGTTTTATAAAGTAGCTAAAGTCAGGATAAATATTTTTTTTGAGTTATATAAATCTATGCATTTTTTAAACGCATTTTGAAAATGTTTCTTAAAAAATACATGGCTAAATTCGCTTCTTGTTTTAAAATATCTAAACATTGAAAAACAATATATAAACAACTACAAATGACAACTAGTTCCTTGACCCCAATACATACGCTACACCATGTCATTAACCTCAATTTGTATCATCTTCAGGTTAACCTGAAGTTTTTTTGTTTTGTTTTGTAAACAACATTTT